CGATAACAATAATTTTTATTGGAGTAAAGAGGGTTTTTGATATACTACAGTGCATACAGCAGCGCAAGTTTAGTCGAAATGATGTACTTTCAAACATATTTTTGGCGGTATTCAAAGCGCGAAACTTGAAATCAGACGAGCCCTGTGAGATAAAATTGCAATATATTTTGCAAACTTACAAAGTAAAAATCAATTCTTTATTAATTTCAGTCAAAAATAAAATTGTATGGTCAACTGACAAAAATAGGGTATCCCACATAATATTTTCAATTTCACCTTGGTTTCACATTTGAAACTTAAAGTCGGGGTCAAATGCAAAGTCACCATTATATTGGTTTCTCGATATCCTGAATCTTCTTCTGTTAGAACTGAAAAGTTATCGAGGATTCAAGTTTTTATGTATGACAAGCAAGGTTGAATTAAACATTTGTCTGGAAATGTACTGAGTTTTAAAACAAAAAATATTTCATATTATAAACTTTTAATAATAATTTGGTAATTAAAAGTTATCTCAGTGTAAACCAACAAACACAAATTATCACCAAGGGACAAGAAAAAAGTTATCTTGAAAGTTATCTTGGATCAAAACACTATATTTATTTGCATCAGAACAATGAGGTAATGTAGAACAGGGCTAGTCAACTTGATATATGTCTTGACGCAAGGTTTCTAGCAGAATTTCTTCGAATTCCCTGCAAAAATTTCAGTGGATTCTTAAAAAAATATATGTAACTACATTTATAACCTACAATTAAAAGTTATACTGAGTCCATGAACAATAATCATGTCAATAATCGCTTATTTGTTTTTTGTTTCCAATATTTAAGAATGATGGATATTTATTCACGCGTTGGTAGTAACATTAATCAAAATAAACTAACCAGCAATGCAAGCAGCCAAACTTAAAAATACTAAAACAAAATTTTAATTTTGTGCATGCTTTTTGGAATGTCAGATAAAGGACTGTAGTTGTTAATTCTCTTAACGACTACTTTGGTGCAATAAAATTAAAATTTATTATAATGACTCATTTTTTACAAATAAGTGTATGTGTACACTTATTTGTAATACACTTATTTGTATATGCATTTTTTAAGATGATAATGCCAGATCACATCGCACGCGAAGATTAAAGAACATACTGCAGCATGGCAATATTCAAAGAATGGGCTGGCCAGCAAACTCACCGGATATGAATCCTATTGAACATGTGTGGGATTATCTCGGCAGAGCAATATCCAATCGCGAAAACCCTCCTGCAATCCTCCAGGAATTGACTGCAGCTGTTCAAGGATCATTTTATTGATAACTTGATTCAAGGGATGCCAACACGCGTTGGCCAATTGATTGAAAGAAGATGTGATCACACAGACTACTAAGATATGTGTTTGATGTATCATTTTTTTTCTCAAAATAAAAAAATTTCTAATTTCAATATTTTGTGGCTTTGCTTAATATGTTTTATTGTCCATTCGTAGGTGGGAAAATTACAAAGTTTTTATATCACATATTTTAATAGCAAAACAAAAAATAGATCACATTTAAGTTGATTATTTCTAAAAATATCTGGGAGGCCAAAACTTTTGGAGATGTTACATAAAGTAGTCGTTAAGAGAATTAACAACTACAGGAGTCAAATCCATAGAAGTGGCGCTTGGATCACTAGCGAGAATATTTAATAGAATAATACAGAAAATACAATCCGTGAAGCATTCTAGAAATAGATTTTTTTTTATTTCGTTGTTAACCTGTCTATACTATATGTTTTTAATAAATAGAAATGGTCAAATATATAACAAGTATTATGGCATAATGCAAAACAAACTTTTTAGTATTGAAAAAAAAATGGAATATTTAGTTAATAATAATTTAGATATTTAATAATGGCAATGTTAGTAGTAGTTTTAGTAATTAGTCATAGCGATTTTCTTCTATAATAAAATTTTGTTTACCATAATAGCGTACATTATCTGTAAAAAATTAAAATACAAATTTTTTTTTTTATTCGGAAAAAATAAAAATACTCTAGAACCTGTCTTATAAATTTGCATATTGAAAGGCGACCTTTTTTGAGAAAAAAACGCCACTCTTTTCAAAAAGCACCTTTTTGGTTTAAAAATTAAACAAAACAGATACATATTTGAAAATCTTTTACCCAAAGAATTCAAATGCTCATAGCGTCTTGAAGGGTTGAAATAAAAATTTGAAAAAATTCATGAAAGCTACTCCAAATGGGTACTAAATAATACCAAAAAATCAGGAAAATTAAAATGGTCGGGTCACGACCTCAGTGATTATGGAATGCCCCATGTTTTATGAATGTTAAACTTGTACAACTGTATAGAGTTTTTAAAATAAATAGAGAGCGATGTGTAGGTACGCTATATTTAAAGTGTAAAACAGGCCGAACATTTTTTACTTGCAGCTTTATGGCAAATTTTGTATAAAATATATAGATACTTACATTTGTACCAAGAAAAATGTAATTCTTTAATAAATACGTTAAACGTAGTGCCATCCAAACAGAAAAATTAAAAATATGTAATGATTTCCCTTTGAAAACAATATACTCGCAGGAACATTCACATAGAATTTAAACAACGCACAAAATTAAATCAGAAAACAACATTAAATTTTAAGTTGGAAATTATAACTTTTCACATATAAATATTTCATTAAGGCATAATATTTGCTCCTACTAGCCACTGTACAGGCTGGTCCGTTTTCGATGGGAATTCAGGGTATTTCAGAAACTACTAAAGATATGATAAATCTGACACGACGTTCTCGAGCTCGATTTTCATGGCAAACTCGACTGTCAAATCAGAAATTTGCTATCTTCATTTATTTCTGAGTTACAGGGCATTTCTTGTTATTGTCGCATTTTTTAACGTGTCTGTATCTCAGCTGTTAAATAAGTTAGAATTAAAGTGAAAACTGCTCAAGACATTCTTTGGCGTAGAATTGAATGCCAATATTAAATTTTCAGTAGATCTTAAGATTTCGGAGTTATGACCCAGTTATTTTTTTTTAATGGAAATCGTAGCTGACCATGACCTAAAAAATAGAGATTTTTTTTGTTTTTTAACAATATATCAGATACTATAGCTATTTTTATAAACACAGGAGGTACGGGGTGTTTTATATATAAATTATATGTTTTTCCTTTTTAATATGGCTGGCTATAAAAATACATATGTATAAAACTATAATTCCTACTTTTACAAAACTCATATCTGTTGTAAAAATATTACCTTTGTTTTAAATGCACAACATATACTAGTATGATAATATAATACTAACGAAATTTTAGGAGATAGGTGGATAGGAACAAAAGGACCGATCAGATGGCCATCTAGGTTATGTGATTTGAGTCCGTTGGACTTTTTCCTTTGGGGTTTTCTAAAAGACATTATATTTAAAATTCCTTTTTACTCTATCGAGGAACTTCGAAGAAATGTTGAGAATTCTTTTAATAATATTTCTAATATACATTTAATGAATGCTACCCGAAGCGTTGCCAGAAGATGCGCGAAATGTGTGACAGTTGAGGGACGGCAATTGAACATTTAGATGGTGATGTAGGTACTTACTATTGTTTAATTTACGTTTAATATTGTAGCTTGATTTGAAGTGGAATAAAATTTTGAAAATTCTATCTTTTCTTATCTGTAATGTATATTTTAAATAAACTTCATATTTTTACAACAGATGAGTTCTGTAAAAGTAAGAATTATAGTTTTGTATGTATTTTCATAGCCAGCCATATTAAAATGGAAAAAAGGATCGAATTTATATATAAAACACCCCGTATCTTCTGTGTTTGTAAAAATAACTATAGCATGTGATATATATTGCTGAAAAGCAAAGAAAAATCTCCATGTTTTTAGGTCATGACCAGCTACGATTTCCATTTAAAAAATATATATAACTGGGTCATAACTCTGGAATCTTAAGACCTACTAAAAATCTAATACCGGCATTCAGTTCTACGCCAAATAATTAGTCTTGAGCAGTTTTCTGTTTAACTCCACCTTATTTAACAGCTGAGATACAGACATATTCAAAAGTGTCACAATAGCGAGAAACTCCCTGTAACTCAGAAACAAATGAAGATAGCAAATTTCTGATTTGACAGTTGAGTTTGCCATGAAAATCGAGCTCGAGAACGTGGTGTCAGATTTATCATATCTTTAGTAGTTTCTGAGATACCCTTAAATCCCACCGAAAATGGACCAGCCTGTACAGCTGTGGACAATAAAGAGTTTTCAACATAATTTATATTATTTATAAGATAAGACCGTATATTAGTTTAGTTCTTTAAACCTCTTTAAACATTTTCAACAAATAATGTCCACAACATTACTAATGCTGAGTTACTCAGTCTATTTTTTATGTCTGGATCGTGTTTGTGTAAGAAGTGCGTCCGATACTACTTTACATATTTACATCATATCTATTAATTATTATGACCAGTGCTCTTCTTTCGTAAACACAGTGGCATCCATGGTCGACCGCCGCAACAGCAATCTAGATACCAGGCGTCGAAATGTGGAAATACACATTTTTTCCACGGAATTAGCCAACACCTATTTCCTTTATTTACATGAAACGGCGAATGTCACGTTGAGCACCTCGTTACTGCCGACATAAAACGATTTATTCAATTCCGCTGTTTTGAAATGTGTGTACGCGCAATAAAAGCAACTTCCTTCGCTCAAATAAAGTTAACACGTAACCGAGTCATTACGGAGCGCGATAAAAGTTCGCTTGTACTACTCCTTATCGTGTATACAACTACCTACTTTCGAGAAATAAATCATACGGATTTAATTGAATGCAAAAAAGACCCGCGCACGCCCACGAACGTTAGAATATAACCCCTTGCATATCTAAAATATTAATTCTTATGTTGTGATTATCATTTCATGGCATGCTTATCTGTTACGCTGCCTGTTTTATTTTCCCGCTAATGAAATGCCTGTTTTCTTTTTTTTCAGATTACCTTTCCTAGCAACAACCCGCGTGGGATTCCGGGCATAATAACGGTAAGCAGTAGCCTCTTTTTGCCCGCTCGAATCATCAAATATTGATAGTAATGGCATTTTCACCAATCTGTTTAACAGTATGAATAATACTATCTTATATTTTATTCAAAGACGGTTTAAGGACGCATATTTTTGGTAAAAGTCCACCATCAGCGCCTATTGAATTAATAAATATCCACCCCTGAATAAACAAATTATTCATGGTAATCGCTTAGTAGAAAAACCAATACCACGTGTCTTCCTATTGAATTTCGAAGGTATTATTTATTAATTAATAGATCCAAGTCCCTACCTACTCCCTGTCTAGAATATTACATAAGATGGGAAAATCTCCTCACTAGTTCGTTTTCTCGTCTAAGAAGATTAAGACATTAAATTTTCAAACCTGGTATTTAATCACACTGGTGACAAATCGTTAATGAGATTACATTCCTTTCAAAGTATGTCCAATGTCACATTAAAAAATCTTTTATAACTGTCCACATACTAATTTTATTTTAGAAATTTTTATTACTGGATTGTTATTTGCTGTGCGATTTCCCAAATCAGGGGAAGTTCTTTTAAACTTTGCGGAACTCTCAACTTTGATAAGGGTGTATAAAGTTTCAAAAACAGATAAGCCAATGTTCACTTAGCTTAGGACCACCTAAATTCGAAGCGTTATCTTACGATATTCTATTAGTCGATGTCTAAATGGATATTTTAAGTGGTCACATTTGCATACATTATATGTGAAGATAATTTCTTTGATTGAGCTGATTGACGTACTTCCATGAACGTTAATGTAAGCTAACAAAGGATTTACAAGTACTACCTTTTAATTCACTGTCAAGGAAGACCACTAGGTTTTTAGCAAAATAAACGGTACGTATAAATTAAATATAGCACTGCTTGAGTAGTAGATACAAGTCAAAATAAAACTTTAACATAAGATATACTATCAAATATAATAGTTAAAAAATGGAATTTACCTTAAAAACCAATGGTACACAATTCAAATCCAGCTGGGACATCTTTTATATCACGTGTTGGTACACATAAAGAATGCTGTCATAAAAATCCATAGAATTATTCCTAAAATCGTGACAACTTCATACAATATTATCTGAAATTTTAGAAAATCTTCAATTTGCTGATCATAATTTGACAATTGTAAAAACAATTACGACATAAATATCGAATTTTCACATAATTTGTTTCTGTAACAATTTTAGAAACAATTATATGAATTTTTATGACTGTGTTTTCAGTGTGCATAATTTTTATTAATATCAATCCTTGTTAATATTAATATTATTACTTGTTAATACGTATTATACTCCAGTCGGCAGAGGCCGAAAAGTTACTATTGGTGACATTTTCTTGATAACTCGGAAATAACTACACAGGAATACTTTAAATGATAAGTACAATAATAGGCTAATTTGCTGACAAAGTATTTTATCAGGAAAAAAAATTATTTACAATTTAATCGTGAAAAAAATTTTTATTAGTAGTTTTCTTTAAATAACTCAGCGGGATGACTTTGTACGAAAAAATGCTTAGGACATGATTTTGTTCGTAATAAAAATAGCTACAAAATGGCGGTGGTCCGATTACGAAATTTGCAATAACAAAGCCGTGAGATTGAAAAAACGATATAAAACGCCAATTTTTTTAAGTTGCTGTAAAAATGTCAATTATAAACAAAAAGTGATAAAACTTTCGAAAACTATATTTCAATATATATACAATAATGATGCTAAAGCCGAAAATCAGGAGAGCAAAACTTTTTGTTCTATAAGGTGTTATACATTCATCGGCATCTGTAACTCGAAACTTTGCCAAATTTGTTCGAAGCTTTGCTGACACTTGAAATTTGGTACACACATAGTGTAAATATGCAGAAACCAAAAGCAATTTGCAAAATTCAAGTATCTTCATTTTTGCAGTTTCGGTAAGGTTTTTTAATCGTAACGAAGTAACTGCGCTGTTAAAAATCACTGTTGTATACAGCAGTGATTTTGGTGTACCAAATAATTTCCAATCCACACGGTCAGATAAATGTGTGTGATCGTTACATGTGCAGCTGGTGACTGTGACTTCAGGTGAGAGCTTGCGCAAGTAAATGAAAAAATAAGGCCTGCCGAATTTGCCAACAATTCGCATTATAAAAGTGTGTGGGGGCATTGTTAAATTACAGGCAGAAGGTCTACACCTACTTACTTTACCACCTGGCTGACGTTATAAGTAAATTTTAGTAGCGGTTGGTGAATCTATACAAAAACCGGCGGTATTATAAGCAAATTATTCCTTCAACGGCCTATATTTTTAATACTCCCGTTTTTAGACGTTAAAACTCAATTATATCACCGATAAAAGTTGTGTTTTAAAATTGAACAGGTTTAATAAACGATATTGCTCTATTACATTTAGCATATTATTTTAATTTAAGAGATATAGTGTATTCAAGGAAAACTAGTTGATTGTACCCAACAACAGATACGAATAGTTGATTAAATACATGTTTATAAAATAGGTATATTATATTTCAATATAGTCTGCTTTTTCATCCATTCGTAGATCTAAAATTAAAAAAAATAATCGAATTCTAAAAATAGTTCCAAGTTTGAATAAAGAAAATATACCTATGTCTTCACCCATTTATATATTTTTGTCGCTTTGACGTCTGGTAATAAAAAAGGGCTAACATTTACATTAAATTTGAAAACATAAAAACTGGCGTATCAAATCAAAAGAAAAAAACCAATAACGAAAATATGTGAATCGGCAAACAAAGGACAAGATAGCAGTTCCAATTGTTTTTAAATTTTTATGTATGCGCACAAAAAAAACGCGTTGTCAAAATATTGACCAGGTACATCCAATAACATCGGTTTTAGAAATTTTAATAACATACTGATTTGCTAAAGTTTAATTGTAACAACTTTATAGTGTAAACAGTAAAGCAAATTTCTTCCAAGTATTTGCCAAAGAGAAACTTTTTAGAGTAAATGCATAACTACTTTCTAGTGCCTACAAGCCTTAAAGAAACTTACTAGAGTAAATTTGCTGCAAATACATAATTAATGTAAACTACTACTTTCTAATGTCCACGGGCTTTAATTGTATCAAATTTATAATGTAAACAGTAAAGAAAATTCCTTCCAAGTATTTGCCAAAGAGAAACTTTTTAGAGTAAATTTGAAGCAAATGCATAATACGCAACGGAAGTTGCTCTAGCAGGAGCTCTAGCAATTTACTTTCTATAGTCTACAAACCTTTAAGAAACTTACTAGAGTAAATTTGCTGCAAATTCATAATTGATGTAAATACAACTCAAATTGCTTAGCAAGAACTCTAGCATGTTACTTTTAGGTGTCTACGGTTTTAAAGAAACTTGCTAGAGTAAATTTGTAGCAAATGCATAACTACTGTAAACGCAAGTTGTTTAGCAAGAACTCTAACAAGTTACTTGCTAGTGTCCACGAGCCTTAAAGAAGCTTGCTATAATAAATCTGCTGCAAATGTATAAGTAATGTAATCGCAATAGCAAGTTTCTCTAGCAATTTCCTTGATAGTACCCACGAGCCTTAAAGAAATTTGCTTAAGTTAATTTGCTGCAAATGGATAACTCATGTAAATATGACAGCAACGCAACAAAACGTGTCCACAAGCCTTGAAGAAACTTGCTATAGTTAATTTGCTGAAAATGCATAATTATAATGTAACTGCAAGAGATGTTGCTCTAGCAAGAATTCTAGCAATTTACCTGCTATTGTCCACGAGTCTTAAGAAATTTGCTAGAGGAAAGTTGCTGGAAATGTAAAATTAATGTTAACGCAATAAATATGGCTCTCGAAATTTACTTGCTATTGTCCACGAGCCTTAAGAAACTTGCTATACGAAATTTGATGATGATGTATAATTAATGTAAACACAACTTTAGCAAGTTGTCTAATGTCTACGAGCTTTAAAGAATCTTGCTAGGGTAAATTTGTAGCAAGTGCATAACTACTGTAAATGCAACAGCAAGTTGCTTAGCAAGAACTCTAGCAAGTTACTTGCTAGTGTCCACGAGCCTTAAAGAAACTTGCTATAAGAAATCTGCTGCAAATGTATAAGTAATGTAATCGCAATAGCAAGTTGCTCTAGCAATTTCCTTGCTAGTAGCCCCTTAAAGAAATTTGCTGAAGTAAATTTGCTGCAAATGGATAGCTCATGTAAATATAACAGCAATGTAACAAAACAACGTGTTCACAAGCCTTGAAGAAACTTGCTGTAGTCAATTTGCTGAAAATACATAATTAATGTAAACGGAACAGATGTTGCTCTAGCAAGAATTCTAGCAATTTACTTGCTATTGTCTACGAGTCTTAAGAAAGTTGATGGATGAAATTTGCTGGAAATGCATGTTTAATGTAAAAGGAACCGATGTTGTTGATTTTGATGTTGAATTTACTTGCTAATGTCCACGAGCCTTAAGAAACGTACTATATAAAATTTGCTGCAGATGCATAATTAATGTTAAAACAACTCTAGCAAGTTACTTTCTAGTGTCTACTAGCTTTAAAGAAACTTGCTAGGGTAAATTTGTAGCAAGTGCATAACTACTGTAAACGCACCAGCAAGTTGCTTAGCAAGAACTCTAGCAATTTACTTACTTGCTAGTGTCCACGAGCCTTAAAGAAACTTGCTATAATAAATCTGCTGCAAATGTATAGATAATGTAACCGCAATAGTAAGTTTCTATAGCAATTTCCTTCCTAGTGCCCACGGGACTTAAAGAAATTTGCTGAAGTAAATTTGCTGCAAATAGATAACTAATGTAAACGCAACAACGCAACAAAACGTGTCCACTTGAAGAAACTTGCTAGAGGAAATTTGCTGCAACTGCATAATTAATGAAAACAAATCGGAAAGTTGCTTTAGCAAGAACTCTAACAATTTAGTGTACAAGAGCCTCGAAAAGCTTGCTAGAGCAAATTCGCTGCAAATGCGGAAATAATGTAAACAGTAGT